AATCGGACAGTCAGCTTGACCAGTCCGAATTTCCATGTTCTTTGCACTGCAGAGAAACACCAAGTAACCCAGTTCGATCCTCGTGCCGACAATTTGCATTGAAGATAAGCCGCCCGCCCAAAGGCCCCCAATCCTAAATTCTCCAGTTCAGTGCTCGATTCAACTATGTGACATACTCGTACCTACATGTCAGTTCATCTTGATCCACGCTAGCCTCTCAATCTTATCAGTGCAAAACATACAGAGCGTGAGGGAGGCGAATTAAGATGTGCTGGACTAAGCGAAGTCTGGGCTCCGAGTTAGAAAACAAATTCAATAATAATGGCGAGCCTTATCAGCGCGTTTTTGACCCTTTCGTGTGTCTGGTAAAAGGGTCAATACTAGAGGCGTTATGGCGAGGCTGTTGTCGCCCTGTGGAGCCTGAACCTGACACTGAAATTGGAGTCACGTGAATCCGATTGCATCGCAATGGAGCTCTGGCTCCCCGACCTATGGCAGGAATGAGTTTCTTTTGGGCCTTCCGGTCTTAGGGTCTCCGGGATTGATGGCACGGAACGGGATGGACCGGAGTTGGGTCCAGCTCTTGTTTACAATCGCTTGCTTAATGGGCATCTGCTTATCAGGCACCGGGTGTCATGCACTCTGCACAAAGTGGGCTGGGTCCTCACCAACACATTGGCGGGTTCCATTCCAGTCCAGTAGCTTTGGGGAACTTGATTACGTTTTTTATAGGCTGAAGTATGAGATTAAAACGTTACATCACATGGTTTTTCTTTATACAAAATAATGCGGAGTAAGAGGCGTTGCTATAGGTCATGAAACCTCATGTATCTGGCTGAACTAAGAAACTGTACAGGAAAGCACTGTCCCACCACCTTCAATATTGATAGTATATCTTTTACCTTTCAGCGCCGGTGGCCTGGTAACCGCAGTGTGTCCGGTGGTGATCAAGGGCAGTGGTCTCTGGGTGGGCTGGTCGGGTATCCACTTGAAGGATCCCAACGAGGCCATTCCTGAGTCCAATCCCAACGATCAGACGCCGACCGCTGGCCTCAAGTCCGAACAGGTGGTGTCCGTGAACATCGATTCGAAGATCTTCGACAGCTACTACAACGGATGCTGCAACAAGATCTTCTGGCCACTGTTCCACTCGATGCCGGGAAGAGCCAACTTCGGAGGTGAGCACTGGCACGACTACGTGACTGTTAACAAGCACTTCGCCGTGCGGACCATCGAGGCTCTGGAGAAGTGCCTGGCCAAAAATCAAGGATGCGAGAAAAGCCCACCGATTGTCTGGATCCACGACTACCATCTCATGCTGGCCGCCAACTGGGTGCGTGAGCACGCCGAGGAGAAGAACCTGCCTTGCCGACTGGCCTTCTTCCTGCACATCCCATTCCCGCCATGGGATATCTTCCGCCTGCTGCCCTGGTCCGATGAGATCCTACAGGTCAGCATAATTTTCCTATGAGCTCACGAATAAGAATATTGAAAAGCAAGGACAACGTACCATCATTAACTCCTTTTTAACATAATTCTAGGGTATGTTGGGTTGTGACCTGGTAGGCTTCCATATTCAGGACTACTGCCTGAACTTCGTGGACTGCTGCCAGCGGAATCTCGGCTGCCGTGTGGACAGAAACAATCTCCTTGTGGAACATGGCGGACGCACCGTGCGCATCCGACCGCTTCCCATTGGTATTCCCTACGAACGCTTTGTTAATCTGGCCACGACCGCGCCCAAGGTGTTAAAGACATCCAAGATGCAAATCATCCTGGGAGTGGACCGACTGGACTACACCAAGGGCCTCGTCCACCGCCTTATGGCCTTCGAGGCGCTGCTGCTGAAGTATCCGCAGCACAAGGAGAAGGTGAGCCTGCTGCAAATCTCGGTGCCTTCGCGAACCGATGTAAAAGAGTACCGCGAGCTGAAGGAGGAGGTGGACCAGCTAGTGGGCCGCATTAACGGCCGCTTTACCACCGCCAATTGGGCGCCCATCCGGTACATCTATGACTATGTTAGCCAAGACGAATTGGCTGCTCTGTACAGGGATGCGGCTGTTTGTTTGGTAACTCCGCTTCGCGATGGCATGAACCTGGTGGCCAAGGAGTTCGTGGCCTGCCAGATCAACGAGGTGCCCGGCGTGCTGGTCATCTCACCGTTCGCAGGAGCCGGAGAGATGATGCACGAGGCCCTGCTCTGCAATCCGTACGAGGTGAACGAGGCCGCCGAGGTGATCCACCGAGCACTAACTATGCCGGAGGACGAGCGCGTTCTTCGTATGGCACGTCTTCGCCGGCGGGAAGCCGAGTGCGATGTAAGCCACTGGATGCGTTGCTTCCTGAAGGCGGTGGGTGCTTTGGAGATGGATGATGTGGGCACCACCATTATGCAGCCAGTCTCCGTGGACGATTTCGATGACTACTTACTGAAGTGAGTGAAGAACTGCATTTGATTTATAGGAAAATACTTAATTATTCTGATTATCCATCCCATAGATACATCGGCTATAACCACAAGTTGGCTCTGCTGCTGGATTACGACGGCACCTTGGCGCCCATTGCCCCTCATCCTGACCTGGCCACGCTCTCGCCCGAGATTAAGAATGTACTGTATAAGCTGTCCAACCACTCTGACGTCTACGTGGCCGTCATCTCAGGTCGCAACGTAGACAATGTGAAAAAGATGGTTGGCATCGAGGGCATCACCTATGCGGGCAACCACGGCCTGGAAATCCTTCATCCGGACGGCAGCAAGTTCGTACACCCCATGCCCATGGAGTACGAAAAGAAGGTCAGTGATCTGCTGAAGGCTCTGCAGGATTCTGTTTGCCGCGACGGCGCATGGGTAGAGAATAAGGGGGCGTTGCTAACGTTCCACTACCGAGAGACACCCAATCACCTGAGGGGAGCTATGGTTGACAAGGCGCGCTCCTTGATCGAGAAGTACGGCTTCAAGGCCACGGAGGCGCATTGCGCTCTGGAGGCTCGTCCGCCGGTACAGTGGAATAAGGGTCGTGCCTCGATCTACATTCTGCGCACATCCTTCGGCGTGGACTGGAACGAACGCATCAAGATTATCTATGTGGGCGACGACCTAACAGACGAGGATGCCATGGTGGTATGTTATCTTTGAATGATTCCATTTAGCTGCCTGGGATTTATCCAAATTGTTTATCCGCACAGGCTCTGAAGGGAATGGCGCGAACTTTCCGTGTGACATCGTCAGATATTGTGAAGACCGCTGCGGACCACCGACTGCCCTCTACAGACTCCGTGTACACGCTGCTGAAATGGGTAGAACGTCATTTCATGGGACGGAAGGCGCGCGCCAACTCGCTGACCTACAGGCCCACTAAGGGCGATGGCGTCCAGATGCTAATGTCTCTGGAGGTGGCCGCCTCGGCAAACAATCTGGAGGTGTGAGACCAGATATCCCTGCATGCATAGGCAACCTCGTAACTCAGATAACTTGTAAGATTTTAAGAATAAAAAACGGATTTGTAGCTTAAAGAAATGTACAATTGATTTCGGTTTTTTTTTTTGGTTACGCTATGGAATATGCACTGTTTTCTTTACGAACTAATCACTAAACAAAACGTCATTACTTGGTCTAATTGTGGGAAAGAACCAACCACGAGATGATGAAGAAGAACAGAAAGATTGGGTACACGGCCAGTGGTTTCCTATGCGGCGGCTGGCTCTGCCCCAGGAAAACAAAGGAAGCTAAAGGGATGGCCATTAGTGGGCGTTATATGAAATGCAAACGATTATCATACCGTAAGTGGCCCAGGCAAAGCCCATAGTGGTGGTCACAAAACGCAGAAAGAAAAGCATCCTCGTTTGGGTGGCAAGCAGGATTACCCGGCACACAATTAGGGAAATGGCCACTGGCGTAAGGCAGTAGCCCAGCACGCAGACAGATTGGAAGAATGAGCTGGTGGCGATTAAGTACATTATGATGAAACAATTTGTGAATATCAATGAAATAAGTTATTTACATATTGCCGCCCAGCAGTTTGGAGTTAAGTGTGACTACGGCCGCCCCTATCCAGACGATTACGAAGACCTGGGCGAACTCGGGTCCGTTGTCGGACATGCTGTCGGCGGAGGAGGAGCCTTGTAGGATGGTGGCCATGAAGGTGCAAAGCACCAGCGGCCCCCAAAGATCCCCTAAAAGACATGAAAACACAATAAGAAAGCTGCATACGAATGCAGAAGGAAACAAGTTGATGACGTACAATCGCGTAGTAGACTGGACTTTTCCTTGGGGTACAGGACGTGGTAGAACTTAATGCCTACGGCCCGAATATCCCTCAGTACTGTCTCGCTAATGGGCTCGTCCAGGGTATTGTAATCCGGCACTCCGCTCGCAGACTTTGCAGTTGTGGTTCTTTTGCCCGGAATCGACATGTCGCCCTCCAAGGAAGGCGACGTGTTCACGTCCTCGAACATCTAGTGGGGTATTATATATATACATTAGAGATAAAATTCGTGATTAAAGCTCCTTACTCACATCTAGTTTGGAATCCATCGGTATTATCTACTTAGTTTAATATATAAACGTTTACATCGACAGAAAATACGTAGAGGACAGTGTGACCGTGGCCTGCGAACCACTAATTACTCATCCATCGATAACGGTTATCGATAAGAAGCAATACCGGTGAGGCTGACATTTCCTTTTGAAAATTCTGAAAAAAAGAACAACAAGAAAGCATTAAAATGTTTGACCATATACAACTATTAGATAATTATATATTGTAAGCCAGTAAATTTACAATATTTTATGCATTTCAGAACATAAACAAAAAATTAAGGTATTCTGCGAACAACTTATAAATAATTGACTGCAAATCAATTCAAGGGATTCCCAGAAAACGGAATTTCTTGAAAGTATGAAATGCCCAAACGCCAAAAGGGAGTCATTTAATGACGACTTACAACATGGATGTTGACGACGCCAACGCCGCCCAACAATTTGAATGTTTATTAGAGTAGAATATGATTTATTGCTCCAGCCCTGTGAGGGATTAGAGTGACCATACTCGCCGCCGACGACTGTTGCGAACACTTGATCGCCGAACACAAATCTCAACAGACGCAAATATTGTAAACTATGCTGTAGGTGGACGCGAATTCTTGAACTGCAGCCGCAGGAGCACGTCAAGGAAAATGGCAGCGAAGCGGGCGGAAAGTCCGGAGAAGACGGCGAGCTCGGAGCACACGCAGCGTGGCCTTACCACAAAGCTGGCGCTGCGGCGTCTGCATGAGGAGATTGAAAAACGGGTGCAACTGGAGCATGAGCAACAATACGGAGCAGAGAGGTGAGTCAATCTATATCCGTTGGAATGTACTGATAATAGCCAATCCCTATCCTAGCTCCTATCGAAAATTGCGTGCGGCCTTTGTAAAGCGGTACGATAGCCCACTCGGTTGGCTTTCCATTGGGAGTAGTTTGCTGGCCAGTGGAGCCCTGCTTGCTACGGGGATGCTATGGCCCGCCTTCTGCCTGCTGGTCATTTTATCGCTTGACCTTTTTGTGGTGGTCCGGGAAAACAACCTGCGGCGCACAGAGATCTTCCGGAAGGCGCGACACGCGCTTTCGGAAATAAAACTAGCCGAGCAGCACTTCAGCGACGATTGGCAGCCATCCAACTATCCGCATCTAAGTAATCCCATGTCGCCCTGCGTTTCCCTGCAATGGACCTACCGAGATGGAAAAATTGTCAACTTGCCCTGGGCTTTGTTGGTGCGCGGGGATTACATTGTCTTACGACCGGGACACATTTCACCGGGACCCTGTCACGAAATGGAGACGAATAAATTCTTTGCGGCTAATGAAATATATGGAGCTGCTCCTCACGGAGACCCTCCGGTAAAACCTGTGGCACGTCCTCCGTTGCCCGATCTCGTTTGCTGTTTGGAGAGCACACCCTACTTAGACAACCTTACCGTTTGCCTCAAAAACTCCCTGAAGCGACCGCCCACCATCTACAATCAGCAGCGCTATCTGGTAAGAAGATCTTTAAAAGAAATTCGAACCCGTTGATATCTTTGTTTACGTTGACAGCTGGTCACCAAGTACATACAGCAGTGGGGCTTCATTAGTGCCCTGGTTATCACGCTGATCTCGGGACTTTTGCGCCTCCATGGCTACGGCCTGCCTACCGATGAGAAACACAACTGGCGCTTTGTGCTCGTGGAATCCTCGGCGGCGGCCATAGTTCCTCTGTTGCCGCTTATCTTTCCGCTTATGTGGATATCCATGAACCTGTGGGGAATCGCGCGGTTGCAGTGCTTCCTAAAGACCCCCCAGGCTGCATTGGAAAAGACTACAAGCAAATCGTTTGAAGAGGACCTGGACACGCCCTCGTACGATTATCAGAATATATCGATGCTTCGTTCCAGTGTGCTCCGCATCTGGATGCAGCTGTGGCGGGGTGACAGTGAACTCTTGCCGCGCTCAGCAAATCTTGTACAGGTGCTGGGCTCCATTTCTGCGCTGTGCTGCGTGGACAAGAAAGGTATCCTGTCATGGCCCAATCCCACCGCCGAAAAGGTATTCTTCCTGCACAACACAGACGAGGAGGCTCGCGAGGATGGAGCAGGCAGCCAATCTTCTTCACAGAGCGAGAGCGACGACGTACCGGATGTGGATGAGGACCACAAGGAGCGCGGCATAGTAGCTGAAGTACTGGATCTTACGCACGACCAACACTGTCCATTTCGGCTAGAGTTTGACGATCACGAATGGAAGGCGCACATCAAGTCCTTGAAGCCACTGGGTGACACCTGACTGTGAAATTAGTTTTGTAAGTTCTCTAATGTAATTCAATTTTTCCAGGTCTCGCCATTCTGCTAAACACCTGTTCTCCACTTACCCACGAGCACTACGCACAGTTCTGCGGTCATGTAACCGCGGTGGCTATGCTCGACAAAGATCTGGTACCTGTGACTAATCGGTATGCGTATGCACTCATTGAGTCCAGTAAAAGCTTTTTGCATGGGTACGTAGTTCATTGCCATACTCATCGTTAGTTTCTGTCTAACCAGTCATATATATGGTCGATCGCATCGACCGCAAAACTACTACTTATATAGTCTAATAATTTTCTCCAAAATGGTATTGAATACCATTGCATCCAAAGCCAGCCCGATCAAATTAGTCTTTTCTTTGGGTAATTTTGATTTTTGAATCCAATTGGACGATTTCCCCACAAAACAAACACAAGAGATTGGTAAAGATTTAAAAATTAAAAGCGTAAGAAAAAGTATTTTTGATTTCCAGTAATTTCCATTCCCTAATCGTTTTGCTCTATAATTTCCCATATCATTAAAGCTTTAAAACTAATTGCAATGTGGACATATAAACCTTGTATTTATGTATTATTCTACCTCTATTAATTTGTTTGTACTCGTAAATCGATCTCCTTCGCCTCCCCGCCCCATCCCCATTGGCATGCTATTTTAAGTAACAGACATTCAAGAACGCTTAAATATAGTCGCCCCATTCCCGTCACCACCCCATCCGACGACCTCCGCCCGCCACGCTTGCCTGCATGCTCACGCACCACCGACGCATCCAGCGGTAGTTGGAACCAGTTCTAATCGGTTGTTCTCTATAAACAGACGCTGCCTCTGCGAGCTGGCCAAGCAGATTGGATTCACCGCCCATGCCACGGATCGGTTCGCGCTGGAGGGCCAATTGGCCAGCTACCGACATTTGGTAAGTCTCGCAAACGTTGTAACATAGCAAACTGTAATTATTTAAAGTCATCTGTCCCTTCCAGCAACCTGATGTTGTGCGTAGGGACATTCGTTTCGCCCGGCAGCTACAGCTGTCCTCCAAGGTGAAGGTGCCATTCCCGCACTCATTGTCTGTGGTAATGCGCGAGAATCCAGGAGGCTACTTGTCACTCTTCACCCAGGGAACAGCAGACATTATCCTCGACTGCTGCGATGACTTTTGGGACGGCATTGATCTGCGACCCCTGTCACCCCAGGATCGCAAGCGTGCATTGGACTTTTACCAGCGCAGCGCTTTGACGTCATATTGTACTGCCTTCGCCTATCGCCCTCTGCGGCACGGCATCCATGGAGCCCTTAGCGGCCCTCAACGGAGTGGAGGTGACTGTTTGTATCTGGAGCTACCGCCGGAGTCGAAGCTGCGCATGCAGCACGTGGACAAGACCCACTGCGACTTTCAGGGAGGACATCACGTCAATCTGAGTCACAGCATTAGCACGGACTCATTGTTATTTTCGGAGAGCAAGGACGAGGAGTGTAACGATGTGGAGGGCTGCTTCGAGATGCAGTGCCATCAGGTGTTCATCGGCATGGTGACAATGCAGTACCAGGCACAGAACGATATCGTTCGGCTAGTTGAGCATCTCGAACAGGCCTGCATTCGCTTTGTCCACTTTAGCAAAGAAAACGAACTGCGCTCGCGTGTCTTCTCTGAGAAGATGGGTCTAGAGTCCGGGTGGAACTGCCACATCTCGTTGCTAAGCGAACCAGAGCCGGACAGTGAAAAGGAGCGGATAAGTGCCAAGCCCAAGGAGTTCCCGGAAAATATTGGTAAACCTCAAGCCACCACCTCAACCACTGCCACCACCACTACAACTGACCATGAGAACAACCATCATCCCAGTGCCAAAGTCATGTACATATCGCCCCCCGCACCCGCACCTGCCACTGCATCTGTATCCGAATCCATATCTGCAGCTAAAACCACTGAAATTGTAGGTGACGGCCCAGAAATTAATTATCTCTTAGGACCGCCAACCAATCTGGAGTCGTCAAAGACCCTTAGCTCTTCAGCTCCTGGTGCCATTTCCAACCCGGATGAGTGCAATCCACTTAATGCCCTCAATGGCGAGGATTCCCATTCCCCTGATAGCGAGGGCAGTAAGGAGAGCTCGCAGGATAGCTGCACAAAAAATAATCCACCAGCAGATACTGAGTTGGAGCCGGAAACCGAAATAAATAAGCACAAGCAGCGCCACTCGCTGGACTCCGCCATGGACGAAAACTGCCGTTCCTTGAGCACACTCACTGAAAGCACAGATCAGAGTGCGCCCATCAACTTCGATATGTCCAATAGGGCAAAGCTGCCAAGAGGCATTGAAAACATTCGGCCGCATTTGGAACAGGTTGACAACGTCCCACTGCAAGTCTCTCTTTTTACGGACTGCTCAGCGGAAGCCACGAGTCAGATGCTGGACATCATGCAATCCTACGGCGAGATCGTTGTCTGCCTCGGAAGTTCGGCCAGTAATGCCAATGCCGACATTTTCTTGCAGGCCGACTGCAGTATAGCCGTGGAGCCATTGTATCCACAAGTGTGCCAGGATGTCGACGCATACACGGAAGCCAATATCCAGAACAACAAACTGTTGTGGCAGCGGCAGTCTGGCAAGTCGAAGGGCAATGATGATGAGGAGCTTCTAGAGGGCGGCCTTCAGGGCTGCGCCATGCAGTCGCCAGCTCACACCATCTCTCCACTGTATTTAAGCCGGCTTCTCAACTCTCTGCCCTGTTCCATTGCCGTTTGCCGCGACGACCCGCTTTCGCTAGTGGCCATAATTGAGCTGTCACGTCGCTTCTCTCTGGGCCTGTGGAACTGCATCCAGTACTGGGCATGCTGCGCAGGCTCTATCTCCATTCTGAACGTGCTGTGCGCGTGCCTATCGCAGCCCCCGCTTGTAACCCCGCTGCTTGGCATTTATCTGATGTGTGTGCCGGTGCCGCTAATAGCCATTTCGTTAGCCCACATCGATGTGGACCCCAAAATCATGAATCGGGCAACAAGCAAAAAACAGACGGACTATGATTCTCGCGCCTTTGCCTTTGTCATGTGGTGCTACGGCTGCAAGTTTATCGTTCTGGTCGTGTCTCTGGTAAGTTGTGTTGGTTATAAACGTTAATTAGGAAGGAGGAATTAAAGGTGTTGATCAATATTTATTGTAGCTTGTTGCCTATTGGATGCTTTTACCAAATACCCAAATAAATCCCACTGCACCAGCCACTGAGGAGTCCGTGCTCGAAATCGACGATGATGACGACCCGGAGTTTTATCAATTTCTTTACATCGCCCGATGCTCTGCCTTGCTAGGCATAATCCTACACTTTGGTAAATTAACTTACCACACCTGTCGTAAACCTGACCATAATTCGATCATTTCAGTTTTCATTTCTGTCACCTTTGTGCATCGTGACCATGCGCTCTGGCAGCGCAATCCATTTACCAATCGTATCTGGGCTTTTACATGTTTGTTGTTAGTCCTCATCCATGGTATTATTTGCTTTGTGCAACTGCTTCTGGAGGATATCTGGGTTCAGCTGCCCAACCAATGGGTGGCCTTGTTGATCTTATTTGGTGGCAGCTTTCTGAGTATGCTTGTTAGCGAGCTGGCAAAGTTCCAGGAGAACAAGTAGGTTACATTGGACCTTTTTTGAGTTCCTCTATTAAGTGTATTCCTTGTTTATTTTAGGGTTAACGCGCGCTATCAGCGTCGTGCGCGTCTTGACTTTGGTACCAAATTGGGCATGAATTCGCCCTTCTAAGAATCACGGCTAAGACTTACCAAGCAAAAAGACACAAAGGCTGTATATAACACCACCACTCGACACACTTCTTACTACTTTTTCTGACCATCAATCTGGATATCCATAGACGAAGTTGTTTCTGTCAGCATTTGTTTAAACTGTTCCTAGGTTCAGCATCGTTATTTTAGCCACTAGTACTTACACATGTTTATTTTAGTTTGTGACACCCCCATTGAGTAACGACCACACATTTGTTATTCTTGTTTCTAAAACGGTTTGTTTCGAGTTCCTTGTTTAAATGAGAAAAACCTTTGTGTACTAACATGTAAAAGACTTGCAATTATTGTATGAAATATATGTATGGTTAAACTGAAGTGTCCTATCTTTAAACAAGTAAAAGTTGGAGGCATTTTCCATAATTCAATTGGGAAAGTGGCATGCCTAGAACTGGTTCTCCGCAGATACCTTAATATTAAGACGATAACTACGAGGGGCAACAGTATACAGCACGCCTGAATAGGTGCTAATCCGGAGAGGCACGCTGCAGCAAGTGCCGCAGTTACTGACCCACATCCGCGGGCAGGAAGTTGACTGATATTTTTGTCTTTATTGTGTAACGCATGCTATTAATCCTGATTTGGAAATATTTGTATTTCTCATTCACGTGTTTAAATAAAATTCTAGAATAATAATACTAATATTAACTATTGTGATTTATATTTTTTAGTCGTTAAGTAGGAGTAAGTACCTAGGTAACTGACACGCATGTGGCACCTCTAATATCAAATATTTTTAATAATATATATTACGAAATTATACCTACTATTTCTATGGTTTTTTGAGTTAAGTCTGATCAAGTAGAATGTGCCTATATAATATTATGTTTCATGACGATTCAATATGCTACTAATTAGTTGCAAAATTGGAGCCACACGTATAGCCACGGATTCAAACTCTAGTTACACTCTACATGCACAAATCCCAAGCAGCCGGGAGCACCTAACGGAAGATGGCATCAAAAATGTGGAGTAACAATCAATTAGCACCTGCGATGTCGACGAAATGAAAGTGCTGTTCTGCCCGTTCGGATCGCTGGTATATAGATCACTTCTAGTAGCACCTTCTGCCCGGAATCTGGGTCACGAAAAAACGAAATCACGAACTTGCCCAAACGGAGTCGAATAAAACCAATGGTTAACCCAGTGCGCCGTTGTATTTGAAAATTTCTCGCGCCTCGGTACGGTGGTGTTATTTCCGAGCTCCGGTGGATATGAGGACAGTATAGCCCCTAAGGATACTAAGTGAAAGTGCGCCGAAAAAATTATAATTATAAAGTGTCCCGAGCTGAAACGATATTCAGTAACAAGTTCACACGATGCGGTTAGAAGGCGCCAACTGGGCGCTGGTGGTGTGTCTCAGTCTAATCCTTGGATTTGGACGGGTTCGAGCCTACTCTCAGGTTCTGGTCAGCGGCACTGGGGCAGCAAACGATCAGGGACCGCGCATTTTCAAGGCTCTTAATACGGATTTGATATTTCCGAGGACGTAAGTTTGAAGTGTTTACGAATCGCTTAACAAATCTCCTGACGTATCCTGCCCGTGCAGTTTCAACTCCAGTGCCAATGTGGTATCCACCACTGAAGCTCCAGCTGTAACATCCACATCCACGACAACTGTACCACCCGTCCCCTACAATCATCAACCCGAGGGAACAACCAACTCCCCGGTATTCGTCACCCCTTTAGTTGTCGCGGATGCGGAGAAAGTCGGTCATCCTGCTCCTGTATCCGAGGAGCAAACAGAGCCAGTCGTAGAAGGAGCCTCCACCGGACGCGCCGTTGACTACAGGACAGCGTATCCCTTTGGTCAACTGATAACTCCGTTGCTACGGGGCGGCAAGCCACAGCAGTACAACTCCCGACCCTCGAAAACACGTATTTACCCACAAGGTATACCATCCTACTACTCTTCATCATCACGAAATCCATCCCGCCATCAAGCATCGAGGCCCAGCTACAAGAAAGGTATCATCATCACATTAATAGAATATACAAATCAAGGAAAACTTAAATTTTCTAACACATTTGTTTATAATTATTTATTTTTTTTTTTTTTACCTTAGGAATCAGTGACCGCTTTGCTCCTGGCGAGGGAACCGCCGCAGGCCTGTTCAAGGATCACAACCATGATCACAGCCATGATCATAGTCACGATCATTCCCACGGACAGGATGGCAAGGTGGTCGCCGGCTCCAATTCGGTTAACTCTTATGTTTCACCAGGCGATACATACTCGTTTCCACCGTTGAACACAAAGTATCCATCACCGTCACAGGATCCAAAGGCTGCATTGCCCTCGGATACTGTGACAAGTTACTTGGCACCCGCATCTGGAGGACTGAGCAATGCTGGATATTCATATCCGGGACCTACCTTTAGTAGTTACAAGTATCCCGGCCCAGTGCCCAATAGCAATGCCGACAAGGATACGGCGGCCAGTATGGCGAGTGCTTCGCCACCGGCTGATGATGACCCCGGTAATGATGATTCAATCGGAACCCTGCCAGCTAGTGCCCAGGACAACATTCCGTCCAAGGACCAGGACGGCATGGGTGCTGGAGGTGATGCTCCGGCAGATGCCATGGGACCTCCGGCTGATGGTGGAGATAGCGGTGGCGGTGGCGGCGGAGATGGGGACATAAGCGGTCTGCCATCGTTGCACAATGATGGTTCTGGTCCCGACGACGATCACAAATACGACCCCAATATGGAGTATGCCACACCACCGCCCGGTTGGCTACAATCTCACCCAGAATCTGCGGTTCCCAAGCCGGATGATCACGATCACGACCATGCACCCGATCATGATCACGTGCACGATCATGACCATGCACCCGATCATGATCACGTGCACGATCACTATCCGACTCACTTTGACTACCAGCCCTCGTACCCGGATGATTCCTATCCGGATGTTATTTACGATGATCATCCGCACCACCACCACCATGTCCACCATCCACCGCCACCTCCTCCACCGCCACCACCACCACCACCACCGCCGCCACCGCCGACGGAACCACCACCACCTCCTCCGCCGCCACCAGAGCCACGTGTGAAGAAGTACAGCTACTTCTACATTGGCCGAAAGCTCTGGTACATCCCGCTTTACTTCACCGTGTGGTTCAGTTTCTACATCCTGTGGCTGATCATCAAGTCCATCGGTCGCCACAAGGTGAACCTGCCCAATCACTACGTCTCGAGGCGCAGTGCTCCCGATCCGTTCACCGAGCAAGGACGGGACGAATATATCAACGAGATGACGGTTAGGGTGCTGGAACACATAGATAGCTTTAAGCAGAAATACTTGAACTGATAAGGACGCTACTAATTACTTAATGGCTATTAAAAACTTAATTAATGATCTTGCACTGTTGTTTATTGGTTAACCAATTTTGAATTTTCGCTAGGAACGTTGTTCCGTTTCCGCCGGCAGCTGTCATCGATACGTAATCGATGTTTAATAAAACACATGCTATCGTTGCTAGTCCATCTCTAATTTGTGAGACTTTGTTTATGTTTTAATTTTTCTGCGGTAACTTGATATAAAAAACACGACAGGATGTCGTATATGCTCCCGCATTTGCACAATGGCTGGCAGGTGGACCAGGCCATTCTCTCCGAGGAGGACCGCGTAGTTGTGAGTAATCGGAGTCGGGCCAAAAAGATACTGCTCCGTGGAGCACCACTTGGTCGTCCATCAGACATAAGTAACCAGTACTGATTTCCTCATAGGTAATACGCTTCGGTCACGATTGGGACCCCGCCTGCATGAAAATGGATGAGGTCATGTACAGCATCGCCGAGAAAGTGAAGAACTTCGCTGTCATCTATTTGGTGGACATCACCGAGGTGCCGGACTTCAACAAGATGTACGAGTTGTACGATCCCTGCACGGTAATGTTCTTCTTCCGCAACAAGCACATCATGATCGATTTGGGCACGGGCAACAACAACAAGATCAACTGGCCACTGGAGGACAAGCAGGAGATGATTGACATCGTGGAAACGGTGTACCGAGGTGCCCGTAAGGGTCGGGGTCTGGTCGTCTCGCCCAAGGACTACTCCACCAAGTACAGATACTAAAGTGGGTCGCGTACCCCGTCTACTTAGTTTAATATATTTCATTTAGGCGTAACAAATTGATGATCCCAAATAGAAGCGGCTGTCACTTGGCAACTTGTGTATATGTATTTTCTTCTGGTTTATTTTTCACTTGTCACATTTCTCATTAATATCGCTAACATGTACATCAATTTCTTGGTTTTTCATATATAACATTTAACTAAGTTTGTTCTTTAATAGCTCATACTTTTAAAAATTTTAATCCGTTCTTTAAAGTAAACTTGCATTAATAATTCTTGTATTTGCGCGTTAGTAGTACACATATTCGTTTTAATTTCGAATTGCTTTCATTTACCAATTTGATCAATTATGCTTTGAGTTTAGCTAGAGGTACATATAGACATCGAGTTCATAAACATTATGGAAATAAGGTCGGACTATGGAAGGGGGATCGTTAGTACAAAAGTATAAAAGAAAACATCGCAACGAAAGCGGGAAAAGGAAAAGAAGTCTTTTCTAGTAAAAACTCTAAGTACTCGTATTGGAAGTTCACAAATTGAATGGCCTACGCATTGGCGCCGATATCCAAACTTTGTCTTCAACATTGTTATTGTTCATTTAATACAACAGCTCAGTTTTATTACAGATTTATTATGCTTAGGTTTAACAATTGGTTCCGCTACTCTTTGACTTACACAAGTTAGGTTTTGCTCATTGGTTTCATTAAATATAGGTATGTATATTTATCTACGTTATTAGTTATATGTATATGTTTGCTCATTTGAAACAAATCAACGCTACAATTACAATATTTTCATTTACGAATTTTCATTTACGCTTACGTTCTTCAGCATATAACCAACAATTAAATGTTTGTGTTTCTGGGGGTTTCCTTTTGATATACCATTTCCATTTCCTAGGCGCCTTTCGAGTTGATCTCATCGTACAAAATACTTACTAGCATTAAAAAATATTCAAATAGGGCTCGATTTATATATGTGTGGTGTATATAAATATATACTTATGCATAGGATAGGTACAAATCAGGCTCAGGCTGAGGCTCAGGCGTGTGAGAAAGTCTCTGGGGGGCTGGGGTACCTCAAAATGCAGCTATATCATATTATCTCGCCTTTCGACCACTAGTTGTGTATTTTGATTTGAATAATCCGATTTATTTGATTTATTTCCCTTCCCTTGGCTTTAGCTTTTCATAGAAAAATAGAGATGCGTAGGTGGGATGAGTTAGGAAATTGTTTACATATACATGTTCGGCTCTTTTTTGGTTTACAATTTCTATATTCGCTTTCTAACTTTATATTCTGACAACAACTCTATTATATATCCAACAACAATTCGTTTTCGAACAGGCAGGAGCGGGGAAATGCGAAAATGTTCCTGGAGAGTCTGCACCTTTTGTCTAGCTACGCGTTAAAGACATTTAGGCATCTTTTGGGTGGACCCCTCAAGGTCCTTAAGGTCTTCTGTCAGAGTACTTTTGTTGCAAGGATAACACGATATCGCTCGATTCGATACGACGTTGTGGTGCACTCTATAAAATTTCTAAATTACAATACTTTAAGTATTTGGCTGCTGGTTAAGACACTAGAAGAGTTTTCATTCCGTAATAGGGAGAGTTATAGATAGAGATAGAAAGACCGATATATGGTGGCGACTGGCGATATATCTATAGAAATATATGTATAAACTTTCTCTTCAGTATGGAGCCGCATACAAATATATATATTCGTACGCCTGCACTTTTGTTTTACAGATAAAGTGTGAAAAATAAATCCGAGTATCACTACTTAACTTTTAGAGTTCTATTAACAATAATAGACAACAGTCTCTAAGTACGAATACGTTGTTGTTCATTACCCACTTCCTCGTCCCGATCGGTCTATACATGATTAGTAGGCATGTACTACTGTACTGTGACTCCTTGTGACCGAACTTACTTATATTTTGACTAAATGCGCTTAATCTAATCCTCCTTATCTATACCTAAATACTCATCAATACTCGCGTTTCATAGTTCTGGGTTCCGGGTCTCGAGCAAGCCAGGAAATTGGTTGCCAGACCATGCGACAACCTGAATTACAGCGAACACTTCCCTGAAGAAGAATATTCTTAAAAATCGGTTTCCATTTGAAAACATTTTTAAAAAAGGTGTCAACCTAGGATCCTTAGAAAGTTTTACATTTCTGGAATACAGCGAGTGAAAATCCATACGAAACTAAGTTTTACTAAACTTTTTCCAAGTACCTTCTTGTCCTTCCCAGGGAAGTTTTCACTGTAGATCCCATCACCATGCGTACAAAGTCAGTTACTAAGCTCTTAATTAGTGGCCCGGCCCAGGGAACTGCCTTTGTTGGAGCAGTGGAAACCAGCTGGGCTAGAAGAGTGTCTCCTTTGACCATTTCCTGGAAGTGCCGGGCAGGCTGGGATCGCGCTTTTCACCGCCCAAGCCTCCGTCGTCCCGCTCCAACTGGGCCTGATGGTGCTGCTGGTCCTCGTCATCGTCGTTGGGCAGCCGGATTAGGGGAAGCTCTAGCATGACGGCTGGCGTCGCAGTCGTTGTGGTTGATGCAGTGACTCCACCTTCACAGCTCAGATTCGCGGCACTCCGACTGATACCGCTGGTGGGAACTGCAGCGGGACCCGATCCCTTCCGCAGGATCAGATCCTTAAGGGAGGCGGGCACACAGATGCTCTGCTGCCGGGTCGCTATCACCGAGTCGGACACGGACGAGGGGCAGGGATCGTGCCCCAGCCGGATGGCGTTTGTTGGCAGTTGAGCTGGCTGCTGTGTGGCTTGGTTGGCGGCTTTATTGTCCATCCGGATAGCCAGACCAGGAACAGAAACGGGAACGGGACTGGGCGTGGACCGGCCCATGCTGATTACCGTGTTGAGGCTGCTGTACTGGGTGTGGGTGGCAGACTCCGCACCGCCGAGAGTTACTCCAGACGCCTCCACCAATCCCAGCTCTGTATTTAGGGTGGAGCAGGTGTCCTCCTCCGTGGTGGTGGTCGTTGTGGTCGTCGTTGTCGTCTGCGGATCGCTGTACTGCTGCAGCAGAGGTCCTCGCCTGGGGGGACTCTGGCTCACCACTGCCCCAAAGTGGGTTTCCAGCGGAGGCGCCTCCGACTGGATGGGCAAGCCCATGTGGAACTGTTGCAGAGGCTGATTGATGAGAGCCACTCGGTCGCTAGATGTGACACTGATGGTGCGATGCCGTTGAAGCAGGGGTCTCCGGGGCCGTGCACCACCACCACCACCACCACCACCACCACCACCACCACCACCACCACCACTAGTCAAGGCAGCACTCGTCAATCCTGCAGAGGGCACCGCACTCAGGCTCATTCGTTTTAACGGCATGGTATGCAGCATAGGATTGGGCTTGGTTTCCCCACTAGCCCGAATCGAGGCGGCCTGGACTTGGGCAGCCTGGGCTGCCGCCTCCTGCTCCTCGCTGTCGCTGCTCAGCTGCTGCATGTCATCGTCCGTGTCCGCCGGACTCTCCAGCCCAAAGACCGAGTCCTCATCCAGAGAGCGCAGCTCGGAGTCGGGACACTCCAGCGAGGAGATCTTGAAGGAACTTAGTGAGGCCAGCGGCGCTCGCTTCTCCGGATTGTTATTGCCCAGCGCCGGCAGTTTGTTGGACGCGGAAATGGTGGCCAGGCTGGCGCTTCCGCAGCTCGCCGCGCCATTTAACCGCTCCAGACTCACCGGAGTGCTGTCCACGCTGATACTACTGGAGCTAGCTGCCGTGACCGCCGCTCCGGCCGGAACCGCTGCATTGGCCGTGTACGGAAAGCTGTTGTTGTTGCTCTCGTTGCGCTGCAGCTCCACCAGCGTGAGCTTCCGCCGTACACCCAAACGCAGTTCCTCGGATGGCGAGTCGCAGAAGTGGAACGCCTGGTGAGCACTGGTGGGCGGGGCAGACTGCACAGGTTTGGGAAGTGGCAGAGCCAAAGCCAGGTCCACGGTACTCTCCTGGTTGTACGGATACACGTCCACAGTGTCTGCGCTGATCGAGTGGATCTGCTGCTTCCGGCCCGCCTGAGCACTATGCGGATCGTAGGACACGATGCTGTGCTTCCGCTTGACATTGGATGCACTGAGACTGGACATCCTCGATCCGTTCGCAGAACCCGATCCCGATCCCGATCCTTCGTGAACACTGCGCTCCGAGGGACATGGCGAGGCCTTGGGCGTCGGCTGGATCACCTGAATGTCCGGATAGTAGTAGTCCCAGTTCTCGATGCTCGATGTTCGCGAGGCAGTCGATAGCTTCCGTTGCATCGTAGGCGGCAGGTTGCCCATGCAACCGCCCATGTAGGCAGATGAGCGGCGCTCCAGGTAGGAGCTATCGGTACTGCAGCAGGTCATGGCACTACTTCGGCGCGAGTCCTGACCCTGTTGGGTTAAAGGACGGATTCATTTCAGTGTGGATTCATTCCGGAGAGGTCGAACCGCTCCAATTTCACTCACCGCCATCGGTACGGACAGAAATCCCGGCTTGCTGCGCGTGGAATCCGTTCTCTGGTGCTGGTGATCGGGCTCATCGGCGGCACCTGGCTGCATATACTCCTCCGCATCCAGTTCGTCGTCCGTCTCCACGAAATAGTCGTCCGTGCCGAAGCTGCCGCCCATTGGATAGTTGCTAAAGATGCGCGACGACTCTGACCCACTCTTGCGACGACCCACATGACCTCCTGCGCCGGACATTGAGGAATAGGAGAAGCGACGCGGTGGCTCCAGCAAGTAACTGTAGCCCGCCGGAACGCCCACACCAACGCCACCTGAAATGGAGGCATTTCACTTAGTTGAAACCACTTTCTGGTGATTCGTATCCATTTTAAAGGACTTACCCATTGAACCACACCGATAGCCCCGATTCAGCAGCGGTGGAGCACTCACATTGCCCAGTGAGAGCATCCGCTGTCGGCGGTAGACCATTGCATCGTACTCATCTGGGTAAATGGACATGCCCGTGGCTACGATGGCGTCGTGGATTTCGCGCTCCTCCTCTTCCTGCATGCACACCGCCGCTACGGCAGCCATTTTGGGATCCTTGAGCACCTTCATCGTCTCGTTGCTGCTGCTGCGACTCTTCCAAACGATTAAGAACACCATCAGGCCAAAGAAGCCGCCCAAAGTGGCTGCGATCCTGACTCCAGTCATCACGTCATACGTGGCAAAGAACTCCTCCCGTATCCTGGCCCGCTCCGCCGCGTTTTCCGCCTCCGTCAGATTCCGTTCGCCCGGCGGCAGTAGCGGCATATAGGGCGTGGCCGTGACGTGGGCATGGGCGGGTGCTGTGGGCGTGGCAGTGTTGCTGTGGTAGCTGCTGTTACTGTTGCTACTATTGCTGCTGCTGCTGTTCGAAAGCGCCGCCGGTGTCGGTGATGGCGGTGGATTCTCATGCAGGACATCATGACTCGTGTCAATGAGGGCCGCTGCTTGGATCCGATTGCTGTTGCTGGCGGCATGACGGGCAATTCGTTGCTGGTGTGGCTGCTCCTGTTGCTCCTGTTGCTCCTGTGCTTGCTGCGTGGCATGACTTGGATTGAAAGATGTTGCGCCGGTTGTTGCAGTTGTTGCTGTTCTTGCTGTGGAGGGCGTTGCTGCAGACGACGAGGCACGTCGTGAAAGTTTGGCCATCTCTATTAAGACATTTTCTGCAAGCAGAAGGCATAAATTAATAAATTGTAAATTAATAATGTAGGGGAAGGGTGAAATTTTGCATTTTCTTAGTTTAGGAATAAAATCAACTGTACATTGTTCAGCTCACAACTTCACTGACCTATTCTTTGCGACTACTTGCCACATCTCCGCGTACTTGACGAGCAAACTGCGGCAGCTTTATGCTCCTCCACTGGACGTGGCTAACTACCCATGAAAGTGTTGGTCACGAACAAATTGGCCATACAACATCGACGTGACTGCCGTTCAAGCCAGCTGTGTGCTGATGTTGCAAATGGCCAATGAAATGAACGGATCCCCACTTGTGGCAGCTAAATAACCGAATAAAAATAGAGCCTTGAAGATTTATTGCTCTTGAAATTCTATTAAATAGAGATGATGAGATATAAAACGTCAGACGTTTATGCTCAGCTACTTCGCGTTCCCCGCTTGAAAGAATTTCACTGATTGATGAAAGGAAATTGAAAGTGCAACAAAATAAATGGCAAAGCATTATTGATTTCCAAGGAAATATTTCCTTTGAAATATTTTCCACCACGCGCCAGCACCTCTTTCCTTCTGAGAGTGCCATCCCCAACCCATTAGGACGCCATAAATCCATCCACATTTCTTGGCGCATTCTTGGGCACCGCCTCCAACTTTTTAATTGTTTTCAGCACTTTTCCGGCTACCGCTCCGCTAGGCAGCATTCCCGTGGGGAAATAACTTGGTAAATTTTTAACATTTCGTTGAAATGAGTAAATTAAGGTATACACACACACACAACTAATACTTATTCCGTCCGTGAAGTTGCCTTTGCCCGCAGCTTCCCCTTTCGGCGGTATCCTTGGATTTTCAACAAGTTGCACGCTCAATAATTCAGAAGGACACTGTAGCCTGTTGCCTTTGTGGGGCGGTTTGGGAGTGTGGGTGTGTGGCCAGTGGCCATTATACATTGTCATTGGCAGCTAGTTGGTCAGCTCCTGGTCCTCCAGCCGTGCCCCTCCCCTCGGAGACACCATCCAGCAATTGTTCGTTTTGTATTGACAGTCGCGCAATTGCGGAGCTCCGCTCTGCTAAATTTTTCTATCTAAGCTGTTCTTTCCTTCCACAGGATTTTTGGTATTTTTGTTTTACACAGCGTTATGTGTGTCCTGCCAACGCTTTTGTGTCCTGCCAAGGACAGCGGCAGTCAGTCAGGGAGCGAAATGATTATTGCAAAAGTTTTCGTCTAACTCTCGTTTTCCACCTCAAGCTCCTGCACCTTGGCATTTTTCGGTTTGGTTTTTCATATTCCGTTTTCCATTTCCATTGCCACTGCCGTTTTCATTTCCCGCCTTTCCATCCTCCAAGTTGGTGGGCAAACAAGAAAGTTTTAATGGCTATTATACATTGGCCATAATTCGTGTCCAACTTCCGTGCAAATAATGAGGCAAAAAAATGTAAAACACAATTTGCAGTCTAAGCAGTTTGGAGTGATTTTTAATGGCCCCACAGTTTGCGGATTCTTTTCCCGGGCAATTATATTTGAATTCCATTAATGGCAGCAAAATTTGTCTCCTATACTTTAGCACATTTGAAAAGCTTCTTGAATAAGTTTGTATATGATATCTTTAAGTAAATAGTGAATCTGTTTATTTACAGAGCGATAATATTATTAAATAAATCTTTATTCCAGTAATAATATTTTATGTATCATGCTCAAGCAGGATTCAAGGTGAATCCCTTATCATTTAACTTATCTTTTTAGTACTGAAGTATCTGTTGAAGTACTCCAAGAAATGCATTTCTGAATACACCCACAGAGCCATTCGTCAAGATCGGAGATAGTTATTAATTTATTAAAAGTACGCGTAAAACCAACTGGTATGATGCCTTCGAGGCTTGTCCCGAAATGAACGCTGACTTTATCGCATTTGAAGACTCGAAGGAACTGAAACTGGTATCTCAATACCTTGTTAATAAGAAAATTTATATGATTTATTGGACTGCTGGCACCGACTTGGCCAAGCAGGACTATTTTGTTTGGATTTCTACTGGTCAGCCCGTATCTTGGAATTTGTGGCGTAAAGGAGAGCCTAATAATAATAAAAAAGAGGAGCACTGCGTTGAATACAAACCCTTACAACCCAAAAAACAGTTTCATTTATTGTGTGGTAAACCATTGTTTAACAGCTTGAAAATATAAATAAAATTCAAATTTTATATATCCGAAACAGACTGAATCATAAAGGATAATTTGTTCGTGTCTGAGAAATCGAAGTTATTAAATACTTCTAATAAGTTGCAGCTTCCGCTTGCCACACAATACAGCATGTACAAATGCTCTTCAGATCCTGCTGCTCCAAAAGAAGACAAAGTGTTGAAGTTCACGTGGAGTCCTATTGATGGATTAGCACACTTGGGTATGGGTCTTGCTGCCAGGCAAGGATAATTGCCTTGTGGGTGTGCGTGGGCCGAAGGAAAGAATGAGAGGGCAAACAATATACGTTGAACACATTAACAATGTCCGTTCGATGAACGTGTGTATCAACGCCATATCGATGTCAAAGCGGGCGGATTTCGGGGGGCAGAGTGATGGATATGGAATAGGTTGCAAAATGAGCGGAAAATGGGGCTCAAACTACCGACCGACCAAGCAGCCAACAACAAGAACAATGTGTTGCTTGTTGCGCCTTGTTGTTGCTGCATGATGAATGATTGTGGCTGGGCCAGTGGACAAATGGACAGTGAACAACGGGCAAACATGCTGACAGGCGGCCTCGGCTTGGATTTGAGCACACGGTGCGTATGCGTAATGCGTGAAAGGAGTGAGCTGGCGAGGGCACAAGGGGAAAATAATAATTCATCATGCCCGGGGCAAGTCTGCCCTATATATGCATATACATATATGTATGTATATATACATATATGCTGTGTATGTATTTTGCCTTATTTTGGGACTCTCGTATTTTTACTTTGGCAAATGAAATTGACGGCAAATCAATTGAAATTGTGTACAAATATATAGGCTTATACAAGAATGCCTTTGTCAGATCTTGGGCCACCTCGATTTGACTTCACCCCCAGTCAGCCAAAAATGAAATCATTCATGTGCATTGAGGCATATGCCGTAAATACAGAAGCCAATGTTTAAATAGAATCAGCTCAAAGGAACCGTCTAGATTGCTCAATTTGTTCACTTTTACATTTATTGGTCCTGTCACTGAAAACCTAGTTATGCCTAAATGAAGGCCCAAATATTTAAACTCTTTTAACTTACTGGCAATATATTACGCAATTTTTCATAGATAGAACAGATTGATTTATTATTTATTTCTATCAAAGTAACACAATTCATTTAAAAAGCAAGGGTAAGTCCCTTTTCGCCTCTGCTCAACTGGAATGACTGGTGATTTATTGATGAAATTGATTTCGTGCCATTGATTTCTTAACACCCCATAAATCCCTACTTAAATGTCCATCATTGTCATCAGGAAGTTTCGTTGAGCAACTTAAGAATATACATTTACAAAAGAGAGAGAGACTACATATAACAACCTAAGCGGCTTAAAGGAGCATTAGGCAAATGAAAATACTCAACGGCAAAAATGTGTGGCCTTCTTTCGATTCGATTTGCCTCGATTGTACTTCAACTTGGCCTCCATTTGAAATATTTTTTAATTAGCTAAAATGCACACTAAGCTGTGGAATTGAACATTTTAGGAGCTTAAGCTGAGAGTGTAGGCTTTAAAATAGAGAAAGAACAAATGGAAAGTGGTTTCTGTGAGTCTGGCTGCCTTATTAGTGTCTGCTTTGTCTTTTGCAAAGGGACCAAACAATGCCACACAGTCGCCCCAAATAATGAGAATTATGGCATTCCACAGCCGCGCCTACAGAAAGTCCTGCCCTCCACCTCCGCTGCTCCAGTCCTTGCCGAACTCCTGCCCCTGCAACGCAGCCGTGCGCCATTTAACAAACATTCCGTTAATCTGCTACACTTGGCAGCGCCATGGCCACGAGCCTGCCTCCCACATCCGCTCCTTTATCCTGATCCTGCGCCTGTACTTGTGCCACCTCCGGTTCGGCTAGCTTGGCTTTTTAGCCGACAGAATAGAGAATGTAGGGAATTTTGGAGAAACAAAATTGCAGATCTGCAGAAATTTTCATTAAAGGACTAAATTTTATTAAGGGACTACTTAAATGGGGGCTGAAAATCCAGTTAAAGTATCACTCCCTGCTACAACTATGTGATAATAATGTCAATAGAATTAAGAACATATCTTTAAAATGTATGTTATGCAAAAATGGAAAACAAAACAATGCAATTATATTTTAGCCAAACATTCAGGTACCTCCAGGTGTTTTAAATGTTTGATGTGGATTTTTTTGGATGTCAGCACTGGTATTGTGTGTTGTGGGTGTGTTACCTCATGCCGTAGAGCTCGGCGATGTTGTCCTCGTTGTTACTGCTTATTGTTGTGCTTTTATTGTTATGAGCATGTTTTTTCCCAGTCCCGCGCCTGCTCTTTTCTGTTTGCTGTTTCATTTGGCGGCATTGTTGCTTCTGCCAAACCCCTGGCCAAGCCACGCCCCCACGCCCACTTTTATATATACACGTATGTGTGTGGGTGAGCTGCCTTTGTCTTTAGTGCTAAGCGTTTTACGTTTATGATCCCAACTCAGGCCCAGACAGAACAGAAACCGAAACCGAGAACAGACAGACGGAGCCCTGAATTCCTGTCCTGACCCCGCCCACGGGCTTATGTGGCGCTTACAAATGACTTTTGAATTGCATTCCGGTTATTGCCACTCATTCGAGCGCAAATTATGCACTTAAGGTCCTTTTTTTGACACTCACGCCCTCAAAGCGGGACAGTTGTCCCAGGCTAAAGGGAAAATTCGATTGCTTTCCCGCTTAAATGTGTCACGTTTTGAATTTGTTCTACTTCTAATATTTGCTCAAATATTTAACAGGATTACGTGCCTGGCCTTGGTAAAAGATGTCCTGTCCTGGATACCAGCGATAAGATCGTTGGGTTCCCTAAGCTGCACCCGTAGCCCCATCTACTCGTCCATTTTCGACGTTAATCATTTACTGTCAACTTGTATATTTATTGCTTAATCACTCGGAAGACCACAGATAATGCGGCAAAATGTGTGTGGTTGCTGGTGGCCTCTACATAAATCAAACTCATTCGGCAGATGTAGTCAATTTGTAGTAAATAGTCAATGGTCCTTCATTGTAAATGTTGCTAGTCTTACAATCGATATAATTCTACCTGTACCCGTAAATTCTTTAAGAAAAATATTTAATATTTAAATGTCATTCTGAATATTTCATATTCCTTTAAAAGTCTACAAATTATATAATTATGAATCAGTATTGATATTATAATTTTTTGCTGTGTAGAATATCTCTTGAGCGCACACAAAACCTATTTTGCCCATCGCAATCAATGGAGATTAGGCAGAATTAAAGTCAGGGAACCTGAATCGGAAAGCAAAAGGAGAGGAACTTCAACATATAATTACATTTATGCCCATTTTGTCGGATAATCACTCAGTCAATGAATACCATTTTAAATGAGTACGTGTAAATTTATTTAAAGTCTACTAGAAATTAAAGACTCAAAGCAAAGATTACATTACGTTCAATTCTCTTTAAGTTTTAAATTAAGTTAGAGTAGTTACTAATTGCCTTATATTTAAATTGGTCTAAAGGACATAAAACAGGTTTTCTTTTAGTGCCCGCCAAGCCAATGATTATCCTAGCCAAACCATAAAAAGTGCCATTAGGCGTCTTCTATGGTCAACCACTTTGGCAGCTGGCTTTGGCCAAAAGCCGGCAAAGTAGTTAAATTAACAACTAATTTAAAACAGTTTTTATGTGGCAGTCGCACAAATGGCTTGCCTCCTCCGCTTCTCAACGCACAAATAGCCATGTCACTGGCTGTCCAAGGACTCACTTTTGTGCCACTTTGTGTGGTGGTGGTGCTGGTGGTGGTGGTGTTGGTCGCCTGTCATGCGAGTGGACAGCGATGTCTAGACAAATTTATAACGACTGTTGTTATCCTGTTGGCGGCATTCGGCGAAGGCAGCATTCCGCAGCGGACATTTAATTTTGACACCAGGATTGACAAATGCTGGCGGGGTTTTGGGTCAGCTGCCAGGGCCATCAGATGCCGCTTGGTGTGTCATTTGTGTCGGTGAAGTCAAGTGTCAATTAAATGCCCTGTGGGCCACACTTCATTTTGTGACCACTACGACCGCCACATGGCGTATACGCAATTTACTTCACCACATTCCGGCACAACAAATGACATTAAGAGGAAAGCCCTCTTCAGTGCTCCTTTCCTGCAAGCTGACACTTGACTTGTGCTTCCTGTTTGTTTTTGTTCGCATATACACCATCTGTATCCTTTACAGCGGCGTTAAAGTGCCAAGCAAAGAAGTATAATGAAAGCGCCACAAAGTATGCAACAGAATCACACACATGCACGGAAATAAACGTCGCTTGAGTTAACAATTACTGACACCATTAAAGTTGCTGCCACGCCCACCGCCCACACAGGAACGCCCAGCGCCCTCAAGCTTTTTGTTTTGCAACGGCTGTGTTTATACACAAAAAACGCAATGCTGCATTAAGTTGAAGTAGTTGGGAAAAATGGGTTTGCACTGTAGAAAGCGTAAATTATTTAGATTTATTCAGACTTTACCATTCATTTTGGATTTCAAAATGTGATTTTCAATTCCCAATGAATCCAGTGTCCATATATATACTTCAGCATCCGAAAAATATAAGACCTATTTGAGACATCTTTGCTTTCTCGCAGTGCAGCCTTCTTGCAGCTTCATCTCCATTATCCTCAGCTCGCCTCATTGTTGCGCCTTGCCTTTGTCTTTGTGTGTCGATGCATGTGTCTGTGTGTTAGCTGGGGTGTCACTGTACAGTGCACACAGTACAACTTGCTACGTGCCCGGCTCAGGGTTTTCAGTGTATGCTTGTGACATGTGCCTGGCACAGATTGCGCATTGTCTGCAGCAGGCAGCTCACATTTTCTGTGGTCCTGCAACTTTTTGTCCTCCAGCCCAACGACAACGAGGATGCGACGAGCATTTTATGCAAACGACGGCAAACTTTTGCCACAATTGAGCAAATTGCTGTCCGGAAATGTACTTTGATTCAATAGCCATGGGCCAGGACACAAGGCACAGGACGCGTCCGAAACTTTGGCCCACCAA